CCGCCCCCCCCCCTGCCATTATGGCAGGTAGTTTGTGGACTGTCGTGTTTACTTCCCACCCCAGCAACTTTCTGCTCACTACTTCTATTAGCACTGCACCTGGATGCATTTAGACATACACTAGGGCAGCCACTTTGTTGGCCAACAGTTGCAGGTTATTGCTTCTCCAGGATAATGATTTTGTGAATTAAACTTCCATTTAGAGCTCCAGCTGTAACTTAAGTCTGTAAAGAGGAGGTAGCATTTTTCTAGGACTTAAAGCACAGAGATCTGGGCTTTTTTTCCTTTCTGTGACAAACTTGCTGTATGCCCTTAAGAAAGTCACTTCTCCTCTTCATGCCTCAGTTTTCCCACCTGTAAAATGAGTATAATAATGCTTCTTCACCTCACATGGTATTCTTGAAGCTTTAGTCTCCTCTTCATGCCTCAGTTTTCCCACCTGTAAAATGAGTATAATAATGCTTCTTCACCTCACATGGTATTTTTGAAGCTTTAGTCTCAATATTTTCAAAGTGCCTTAGAGTGCACTAAAGTACAAATATTAGATTTAGTAGGTAAGGGCTCTTCTTTTAAGAGCAGTAAAGGAAGCCATCCCACAGTGTGGCTATTGCTGATTTTATAAGGCTCTAAGTCCTATTGCTTCACCTGTATAGATGACCTTTGCCTTTCTGAATCAATCCCTTTCACCATCCTTGCCCCATGCTCCCATAATCTTCTTCTGAACATACCAGCTTAACTTTCACACTTCTTGAACTGGAAACATCAAGTGTTTCTTTGTTTTCCAGATAAATTTGTTATATGTCTGTATAATTTTCAATTCACAGTGATAAAGCCTTGATCAATATTTGTCACATGGAGCTCAGACTGTGTAAAGTACTCAGACAGCTTCTAACATATATAGTCAGTAGGAACAGAATGGGGAGCTTCTCACGTGGCCTATATACTTTAGTGTGATCTCAGGGCCACTGCATCAGAGTGAAAACAAGGAGCAGTTTGTTTCCAAACAAGAGGCGTGGAGGAGAATCCTCCCTGCTACCCTGCTTTAAGGAGAGGGGAAAAAAAGCAAGTTATCTTTAAGAGATTCTAAAGATGCCTTTTCCAAAATATGCAGTTAGTCCCTTCAAAAGTCTCTTTGTTTATTTTCAGGAAGAAACCCAAGACAGCTGAAAACCAGAAGGCGTCTGAGGAGAATGAGATTACTCAGACGGGTGCATGCAGCGCCAAGCCAGGCCTTTCCTGCCTGAACCTTGAAGCTGTTCCGCCTCTGAGCCCAGCCCTCACCCACTCATCACAGTCACCAACAAACCTGCCCGTGCACACAGGGTCATCTGATTGTGAGTACACCAACGCACTGACAAGTCGCTGGGAACTGGTGAAACACCGTTCCACACACTAGATCAGCTTTCTCAGCCTGTTGCATGTTATTTCCATAATGTCATCAGCAAGGCCTCCTCAGGCTTCCCTTTCTCTCTCTTTTATTTATTTATTTTTGTCTCCTTCAGAATACTTTCCAGAAAGTTTTCTGTGATAAGATCATGATTATTCAGTCAGCCTAAGAAAGCTGAGAAAGTGACACAGGTCAGATATGCAGGGCTGGCTCTAATTTCTGTAAAGTAATATGTGCAGGACTCCCCACCAGCTCCCTCCCTACAACTGGGGTTCCTTGTCTTCCTGTAACTCTGTTTCTCCTCATTCTGGCTTGTCTTCTGGCTGCAACCCCAACCCACAATGGAGGAGAGCAATTAGGGAATGCAAATCTCTGGCAGACCCAGAGATGCAACTTCGGGCACAGGATCAGGATGATGCTTTGTGAGATGCATGTTGGGGACCTGGAAGACTCAGGGCCCAGTACAATCAAATAGGCCCAACACCTTTGCTGTATGTATATTTTTATTGTATTAACTCAAAGATGAGTCCGCACAGGTTTCCTGACCTTTTCCATTTTATCCAGGATACCAATAACCCCCCTCCTCAAAAAGAAAAAAAAAAGGAAATGAGTAATTGGAACTGGATTTTGAAAAGACAGAAATACACATCAGATCTTCAATATATTGCAATTTTACAATCATCCCTTCATTGGGTTGTGTCAGGCCTCACATTCATCAGTTTCTAGGTGATATAGTTTACCTCTTTTGGAGTGGTTTTTAAGATATTGTAAAATGTACAAAAGGAAGGAGTAGGAAGAAGCAGCCAGCTTCCAAGAACTCAGAAGACAGCTAAACTTTGCAGAGGCCAATAAAAAGAAAATATGCACAAAGCAATAAAAATATCAGGTAAAAAATAAGACATCCTTAAATAACCTGCCTGGGGGTCAGTCTTGGAAGCAACCAAATTGTTGGGATCATTGCTATACAAATCATTTCTACAACAATTCATTCCTTCCACCTTCTGACTTTGTTCATTAAGGCCTCTTCTTGAGATCTCAGTTGTGATAGAACCAATAAACAACATTGAAAGGCTTTCCTAAAGCTGGCCCAATGCTTTGAGAAGAGAGAAAGAGGTATGAGATGATGGAAGAAGAAGCACTGTACAATTTGATGTAAAGGAGAATGCCCTTTAACTTTGAGACACCTGACTACTGGATAAAACTAAGATTTGGGTTTACTTTGTAATGTTTTTGGAAAGCAAAAGGCAAGCGAAAAGGCCTGAAAATGAGTATGACAAAAAAATCCTTATTTTCAAACAAATTGACTTATCCTATTCACAAAGATGAAAAAAATTCATTAATGAGATGTGAAATGTCATACTGATATTTTTGACAGCACAAATAGAAAGCCACAAAAGCAGCCTTACTGCAGAAACTAGTAAGCACTTAATAAGCCGTGTGGAATTAATTCCTTTCCTTGACTCTGGATGTGGTCAAGATGAAGGGTGACACACATTGGCAGGGAGCAGTGTGGGGGAAGTTTGCTTTGCTGCTGCCCATGCTGTACCTGTTCTGCTGACAGATGATTTCAATCTATAAATCTGTCAGTGTTAAGCATACTTTCCACCAACACTAAATTCAATACTAAAATGTGAATGACAAGACTCAAACCCCAGATCAGTCCATCCTTTCTCATATAGTCTGATCTTCAGAGAGAAGGGTCTCTGCCAACCTGACCTGGGGGAAAATTCCCTCGGGACCCCAACATGGCGATCAGTTACACCCTGGGCATGTGGGTGACCAGACACCTGGAAAATAATTCTTTGTAGTAACTCATGCGTCTGTTTTCCCATCTCTGGCCTTACAAGATATTTTTAATCATATCTTTTTGTGGGATTAAAAATATCTTGTAAGGCCAGAGATGGGAAAACAGACGCATGAGTTACTACAAAGAATTATAATCAGGGAAACTCAACCTCGTCCTCCTGTACCTGTGCTTTAACAGAGGCATTATATCATTATATCTTCATTGCTGAAATTATTTATCAAACACAGTAAAAGGAAATATAAAGGAACTACACTTTTATTTATATTTCAGACATATGTAAACAGTTGCATCATTAGATATCTATTATACCTGTATAGTTAAGTAATAGAAGAGCCTTATGTAATTGCATGTACACATGGGCCAGAGTATGAGTTAAGGATACTTAACTCTGTGGGAAGAGCTGATGTCCTGTTGACCCTCCCATCCCTCCTCCTGTTAGATGATGGAGATGAAAAATTGCTAGCATTATTTGAATATAGGGTGTGAAGAGAGAGAATCATAGAACACTAGAACTGGAAGTGACCTCGAGAGATCATCAAGTCCAGTCCTCTGCCTTCATAGCAGGACCAAGAACTGTCTAGATCATCCTTGACAGGTGTCTGTATAACCTGCTCTTAAATATGTCCAGTGATGGAGATTCCACAACCCCCCCTAGGCAATTTATTCCAGTGTTAACCACCCTGACAGGCAGGAATTTTTTCCTGATGTCCAACCTAAACCTTCCTTGCTGCAATTTAAGCCCATCGCTTCTTGTCCTATCCTCAAAGGCCAAGGAGAAAATTTTTTCTCCCTCCTCCTTATAACACTCTTTTAGATATTTGAAAACTGCCATCATGTTCCCTCTCAATCTTCTCTTTTCTAAACTAAACAAGACCAGTTTTTTCAGTCTTCCCTCATAGGTCGTGTTTTCTAGATCTTAATCATTTTTGTGGCTCTTCTGTGGACCTTCTCCAGTTTCTCCACATCTTTCTTGAAATGTGGCACCCAGAACTGGACACAGTACTCCAACTGCAGCCTAAACAGTGCAGAGAGGAGCAGAAGAATGACTTCTCGTGTCTTGAGAATTACTTCCCGTGTCTTCATGAACATGAACCAACATGTTGTTATTTCCCTCTATCAGCTGCTTCCAATACCATAAAATTCCTGGTTTCTACAGATAACTTGACCACATCCCCTTTAATGTTAGTGGGGCTCCCAAGGCTGAAACAGAATTACTTTGGCAAAGACTGGAGACTGTTTGAGCTAAGGTGTAGTACTGGTCTGCAGAGCTATTACTTATATGACTCTTATCTCAAGTTCCTGAAAGCTGTTACTCTCAGGGAGCTAGTATTTCTCTCATTGGAAAAGAGAAGTTTTCAAATGGTTCTAATGGGAACTTTCAAAATTAAGCATGCTCCTTTAAGGCAAGACCTCCATTGAAGTCAAAGTAAGTTCCTGCAGGACTTGTTCTTAAGAAAGAGGCTAGAAGAGGGAAATTCGTCACATGGTAAAGAGCTTGCAAACTTGGGAAATAATCTAAAACTATAGTTTTAAAACTATGATTATACAAGAATCTTGGACAGGACTATTTCACGGAAACAGTAATAAACATAAAGAACTAGTTAACATGAAGGTGGTTGAAGCACTAGATAAGTGTAGCAGGATCTATTACAGCAGGTTACACGAGTCTTCATTTATTGTACATGCATTTGGAAGAGAGATTTAAATTTTATGGACAATATTTTCAAAACAGGTTTGGAATGTGCATTCACTATTTTAAAAGCAAAAAACATTTACAAGTTAATTTTCCCCATAGTGTCTGGGTCCTCCAGACATGACTCAGTTTAAGAGCAATTTCCCAAATATAGGTAGCAAATACCCCAAGGCAGCCAGCTGAACCTCATTTTTAAAAAACAGAGATGAAGAAATTCTAGGCAGGAGTTTGAATGCCCAGGGTGCTCTGACAAGCCGTTAGCAAAAATGTTGGGCAAAGAGATGTATTATACAACACTCTATATGGGCCCCCTCCTGCAAGGCGGTAAGTGCCTCCTATGTGCTGCAGTGTGCCATGAACCCTCTTTAAAGTCACATTGACTCTTCCCCATACAGGGTTGGATCTTAAATGTTCCTAATATTGGACTTAGAACATATTACTATTGACAGGAAATTCCTGGAGCAAGGAGACTCAGTCTAGGATGCATTGCCTCAAGTTCCTTCTTGGGAGAGATGAGCTTCAGCGTTGCAGGCAAAAGTGTGTGGAGTAGTAATTCAGAGAGGCTGTTTCTGAGCTAGCTGATTCCTAATGCTTTGCAGCTAGCAACCAGAACTTTGAATTCCCAGAAGCTTCAGGGGGTAGCCGAGTTAGTCTGTACACGGGCTGTGCCCACGAAAGCTCATGATACTATCTACATGTTTTGTTAGTCTATAAAGTGCTACCAGACCATTTGTTTTTTGGTGTATTTTTTTTTAATTCCCAGTCAGATTTCTAAATATCTCATTGGGCACATGCAGATGCTTGTGTGCATGCTAATTAAAATTTGTGGGTGCAAAATTTAGACACAAGCTAAGAGGCTCCGTTGAAAATCCGATCCTATAAAATCAGGAATAGTTATAAGTAAGCATTGAGGCTATAATCAGTGCACTCCTTCCACACACTTTCCTGATCATCAGTAGAACAAGTGGTAATGGTCGGTAGGAGCCAAATCCCAGGACCATGCTGTACTCTACTGAAGCAAAACTCCTACTCAGTAGAGCCATGCTCTACTCTTCTACTCAGGCAAAACTCCACTTGGTTTTGATGAATTTAGAGTGAATAAGGACTTCAGAACATGGCCCTATATAAAATAGGGCTTCAGGGAGTAGCTGAGTTAGGCTGTTACAGAAAAAAACAACAACCTATTTATCTAAAAAACCAACAAATGGTCTGGTAGCACTTTATAGACTAACAAAATATGTAGCTGGTATCATGAGCTTTCGTGGGCACTGAAGATGGGCTGTGCCCAGGAAAGCTCATGATACCATCTACATGTTTTGTTAGTCTATAAAGTGCTACCAGACCATTTGTTGGGGGTTTTTTTGTACATAGGTTAGGCTTTAGAGAGGGCAGACAACAGGAGCTGTTCAGACAACATCAGTGACTCTCGAGACCTCTTTTGGGAGTG